CTGCTTCTGGTTTCCATTTTTTTTTCTTCTTTTTTTTTTTTATCCCACTTTCTGACAACCAATTTGTTACCTCCAGTCGTTAGTTAATTTTCCGTAAATTCGTTCCGACGAAACTTTAGCGACACAAGTCCTTTCCTAAATAAAACTGGTTTATTCTTTCCGAATACAACTTTACGATACACTTAATTTCAACAGTCGCTATGTAACAACACTATAACTCTCAACGAACTTCTCACGTGCTTAACAATATTCTCTCTGACTGCAGTTCAATTACTCATTACCTCGTCACGTTGTGACCATCTTATATATATACCAGATTAGATATATAACAGCCAAGTGTTCTGTATTAGATATACAACAGCCAAGTGTCCTGTATTAGATATATAACAGCCAAGTGTTCTGTATTAGATATACAACAGCCAAGTGTCCTGTATTAGATATATAACAGCCAAGTTTTCTGTATTAGATATATAACAGCCAAGTGTTCTCTATTAGACATATAACAGCCAAGTGTTCTCTATTAGATATATAACAGCCAAGTGTTCTCTATTAGATATATAACAGCCAAGTGTTCTCTATTAGATATATAACAGCCAAGTGTTCTGTATTAGATATACAATATTCAAGTTTTCTGTATTAGATATACAACAGCCAAGTTTTCTGTATTAGATATATAACAGCCAAGTGTTCTGTATTAGATATAGAACAGCCAAGTGTTCTGTATTAGATATAGAACAGCCAAGTGTTCTGTATTAGATATACATCAGCCAAGTGTTCTGTATTAGATATACAACAGCCAAGTGTTCTGTATTAGATATACAATATTCAAATTTTCTGTATTGATTTGTGGCACTACTGATTTTATTCTACGCGTAACGGATGACAGAGCTATGATACATAACTCTGTTATAGTCCTACCAAACAAACAGAGTTACGATACTTAAGTCTGTTATAGTCCTACCAAACAGACAGAGTTACGATACTTAAGTCTGTTATAGTCCTACCCCTGACCTTTGTGAGGCTCCTGGTTTATTTCATTTTTGTCACATTACAATTTACAGATCGGTTTATTGCTTAAGAACTTTTAAAGTGCAGTTTTGTTCTCGTTCGAGACATGGGGTTCGTCATGTAATCGACTAAGGTGCTATTTGGAGGACTATAACAGATTTAACAAATGTAACTTTGTCTGTTTGGTAGGACTGTAACAGACTTAAGTATCGTAACTCTGTCTGTTTGGTAGGACTATAACAGATTTAACTATTGTAACTTTGTCTGTTTGGTAGGACTGTAACAGACTTAAGTATCGTAACTCTGTCTGTTTGGTAGTACTATAACAGATTTAACTATTGTAACTTTGTCTGTTTGGTAGGACTGTAACAGACTTAAGTATCGTAACTCTGTCTGTTTGGTAGGACTATAACAGATTTAACTATTGTAACTTTGTCTGTTTGGTAGGACTGTAACAGACTTAAGTATCGTAGCTCTGTTTGTTTGGTAGGACTATAACAGACTTAAGTATCGTAGCTCTGTTTGTTTGGTATGACTATAACAGATTTAACTATTGTAACTTTGTCTGTTTGGTAGGACTGTAACAGACTTAAGTATCGTAGCTCTGTTTGTTTTTAACAAACTGAAAACATGATGAGAAAATTCAGTGAAGTTAACCTTTTGATCAGATCCAGGTCACTTCTGTCGTTTGGCTACGAAGGTTTTCTTTATTGCAGACAGTAAACAGCAGTTTATTTAATGTTACGGACGTCACAGCACTTCTGACAGTACAAGTGGCTTAGTATTATCTGTTTAACATTAAACTGTAGATTTTAAATAAGTTACAGCACTTCTAACAGTACAAGTGGCTTAGTATTATCTGTTTAACAATGAACTGTAGATTTTAAATAAGTTACAGCACTTCTAACAGTACAAGTGGCTTAGTATTATCTGTTTAACAATGAACTGTGGATTTTAAATAAGTTACAGCACTTCTAACAGTACAAGTGGCTTAGTATTATCTGTTTAACAATGAACTGTAAGTGTTACAGAAGTTACAGCACTTCTAACAGTACAAGTGGCTTAGTATTATCTTTTAACAATGAACCGTAAATGTTAGAGAAGTTACAGCACTTCTAACAGTACAAGTGGCTTAGTATTATCTATTTAACAATGAACCGTAAATGTTAGAGAAGTTACAGCACTTCTAACAGTACAAGTGGCTTAGTATTATCTATTTAACAATGAACCGTAAATGTTAGAGAAGTTACAGCACTTCTAACAGTACAAGTGGCTTAGTATTATCTGTAAATATTACAGACCGCTTTAAGTGTCGAGAATCCTGGCCAAGTGACACTCTTGAGAAGATATTCAACATTTTCTTGGACGTTGTCCTGTTGGTCACTCCACTGTTAATAATGGTTATAACCTACTCACTCATCACGGTGACCCTCTGGCGAACTATTCGACCTCTAAGAAGTAAGAAAATGTGTTTGATATTTTTATTGAATAGATTACAAGATTAAATGTAGTTCTGGTTATATGAATTAACTGTAAACTGTTCTTTCTTGGCTACTTTATTACCTGCATTTGGAAGTTTAATAATTCAGAAGGGACTTGTCTTTCTGAGATCACTTGCATTCTTCAACCAAGCGTTTTCTCGTGTTCTCTTGTTGTACTGGAACTTAGTTATCCAAGACAACTAATCCGTGATCGTATTTTAATTGATTTGTAAAAAAACACTTCTCAGTCCTGCGTTTCTTTCTCTTTTCCTCAGTTCAAAGAGATGCAACATCTCGAAGAAAAAGACGAGATCAAGAGTCACTAGCTACAGTGAGCAGTGGAGTACAGAGAACCAGAAAAGGTAATCTGAACATCGTCAGTAATATGGAGAGATCCCTGGCTCAGAAGAAACGCGTCATTAAGATGCTTTTTGTCGTTGTTCTGGAGTTCTTCATCTGCTGGACTCCAATCCACGTCATCAACACGGTGAGCCTCTTCAACCCTCGAGGGGTTTACGGCGGTCTTGGCTATCAAGGCATTTCTTTCTTCCACTTATTAGCCTATACTTCTTCTTGCTGTAACCCTATTACTTACTGCTTTATGAATTCCAAATTTCGGCAAAGCTTTCTTAGCATCTTTGGTTGTAAGAACACCAGATGGCACCACCAGCTTCCTAACAGCCTGTCGGGAACTTTAAGAATTGCATCAGTATCCCAGAGGAACTTTGAACCCCAAAGATGTTTCCAGGAGACGTCGATAGTTGTTAAAAACGAGGACACTGTTTAATAAACCTACTGGAAGAAAAGCATACCTTATAAGAAGGATATTTTAATCAAACGAGAGAACCTTGGATTTATATTCATCGTAAATTTATGTTGTATAAAAGATGTGAGCAGGTGGTGTTATATCACATGAACAGACGGTTTTATATCCCATGAACAGACGGTGTTATAACACATGAACAGACGGTGTTATAGTACATGAACAGTCGGTGTTATAGTACATGAACAGACGGTGTTATAGTACATGAACAGTTAGTGTTTAGTACATGAACAGTCGGTGTTATAGTACATGAACAGTCGGTGTTATAGTACATGAACAGTCGGTGTTATAGTACATGAACAGTCGGTGTTATAACACATGAACAGTCGGTGTTATAGTACATGAACAGTCGGTGTTATAGTACATGAACAGTCGGTGTTATAGCACATGAACAGTTGGTGTTTAGTACATGAACAGACGGTGTTATAACACATGAACAGACGGTGTTATAGTACATGAACAGTTGGTGTTTAGTACATGAACAGTCGGTGTTATAGTATATGAACAGACGGTGTTATAGTACATGAACAGTTGGTGTTTAGTACATGAACAGTCGGATAGTACATGAACAGTCGGTGTTATAGTACATGGACAGTCGGTGTTATAGTACATGAACAGACGGTGTTATAGTACATGAACAGTTGGTGTTTAGTACATGAACAGTCGGATAGTACATGAACAGTTGGTGTTATAGTACATGGACAGTCGGTGTTATAGTACATGAACATACGGTGTTATAGTACATGAACAGACGGTGTTATAGTACATGAACAGACGGTGTTATAGTACATGAACAGACGGTGTTATAGTACATGAACAGTTGGTGTTATAGTACATGAACAGACGGTGTTATAGTACATGAACAGACGGTGTTATAGTACATGAACAGTTGGTGTTATAGTACATGAACAGACGGTGTTATAGTACATGAACAGACGGTGTTATAGTACATGAAATAACCCTTAAAGTCTGTTCAACTATGCAGTGTTCTAGATAACTCGGAAGACAATAAAATTCAAGACAAACGAGGAAAACACGTGCCATAGATAATCCGTGTATTCAGTAATGTTGAACTGAACTAGAACTGTTTGTGTCCAATCAGAAAGCTTCTGTTAATGTACCTTGTCAGAATGAGCTGTAAAATATCTGATCTACGATGTGTTTATAAATAAATAAAAATTTGTGAAAACCATAAACAAGTAGCAGGAAACTCAAGGTATCTAATAGCACAGTACCGCTGTAGTGGATTAGGGTGTGTCTTGGATGTTTTAATGATCAGAGTGATGAGTGTGATGTGTTGATATGTCACGAGTACATTACGTGTTGATAATACGTTCCATTAGGCAGCAGACCACACCGAAGAGCTCTAACCCCCCATCTGAGATTTAGTCTTTTAAAACTTTTAAATTCTCTACAATGTGGCAGCAGACCACACCGAAGAGCTCTAACCCCCCATCTGAGATTTAGTCTTTTAAAACTTTAAAATGTGACTCCCACTTACGTGAGTATTAATTTTGTCTGCCCCCCTTATGCCCTCCAAATAAAAAGTCCTAGAAATGCCATTGATGTGAAAGAAATGTTCATTTTAAACACTGACTATTTACAATTGAGAAACTGATATAACTGCATATCCTAACGTATTCTCGAAATAAAATAAAAAACTCTCGAACCAGCCTCTGCATTATTTTATAGTTAATTCTACTGTCAGATATTGTTTTAAAACTTGTTCCTGGTCAGAATCAGGACCCTCGTTACTCCCCCTATTGGGTATGAAGAATACTATTTTATTTGTTTCAAAATGTTCCCTCAAAGCTATACATAGACTATCTACGCCAGCCGTCCCTGGTTTTGAACTTATAGAAATGAGTAAAACACCCACCGCCTATTCATTGGCTACTCTGAATAAATGGTGAACTTTTCTAACGCGCCCACGGGCCTCAACCTGTTGAATGTGATATTCCGTCACGAGACGCGAGCCAAGAACCTTCGGATTCACAATCCGGCAAGCTTATTACTAGGCCATACTCGCCCAATGAAGAATATTCCAGAATATCTTTGTAAGTTTAATACACTTCTGGAAAGAGTCAGATTATTTTCTTTATAACTGTTATAGAAAACGATAATGTCGAAACGTGATTGGTGTATTTAAATGGAACGTGACAGACTTTCCTCTAATCAATGGCTAAGTAGACGAATACATTAATATTATATCAAGATATGAAATGAACCTCAAGAACACCAGAGATAAAACAGTTTTATAGCTAATACCAAATAGAAATACCGAGTTGAAAATTCAAGGATTTTGAAATATCAAGTGGCTGGTCGAGAGGATTTATCTTTGGCAGTATAGAAAAGTACCAACAGGTCTCGGAAACGTTTATTTACAAGACGACTTGTTAAAAACAAAAGAGAGAATCCTTGAAGCCTTACCATCAAATGAAGTAAACATCTAAAAAACAGAATTTTTGAAATTCTTTACCTCACTTTAACATAAATATAATTTACTATTTTGTACTATGAGTGTGTTTATATTTAGTTACTCAGGAAGACCTTTTTTAGTCTTTAATTTCCATCCGGAAAATAAAATGAGAGAGACCAATTTTTGGAAGCTTAATTGGGTAAAGATAAGGGTAAGGTCAAACTTTGGAATATCTGGTATGGTAAAGATAAGAGGCAGGCCAAACTTTTGAATATCTGGTACGGTCCTCTTATCTTTGAGGCCAAACTTTGGAATATCTGGTACGGTAAAGATAAGAGGGAGGCCAAACTTTGGAATATCTGGTACGGTAAAGATAAGAGGGAGGCCAAACTTTGGAATATCTGGTA